AGAAAACACAAACCTCAGCTTTGTTAGGAAAAAATTATATTCTGGAATAATCCTTTTAATTAATGATCTTGGAGTAGCAACGGACCATATTTTGACCATGTTATGAGAGGAAAATTGTACAATGTGTATTTGTAGAATGTAAATAGAGATATAAAAGTGTGTGTGAGAGAGAGTTTGAAGTGGGTTGCCAAATGCTCCCAACATATTTACTTCCTGACTTATGCTTGTCCTTTTACACTGTTGTTTAAAGATGTTATTTTGATAGTTGGTTATCATAGCAAAGGATCAGAAATGAGACCTATGTGTGTGTGTGAGGGGGGGGGGCGGCAAGGGTCAGAACTCAGACCTGTGGGGGGCAAACAACTTCTCCTATGAATGAGTACTTAGTGTGTGGACACTGTTCTCCCAACTGCCTCAGCAGTTGCTCTTTTCCTTCCTTTCACAAATCTCAGGTAAAACCTGAAATCTGGTGAGAAGAAATGAGAGGCTCTGAGGGGTGTGCTTTCTCCTAACCTCTCATGGCAAACTCTTCACCAGGTTTATCATTGTTATCTCAAATGATGCAATGGAAAAAGCAACTCCTGGGAACCCGAGCTCTTGGGTCCCACAAAGCACATCACATGTGGAGCACTAAACTCAGGTGTTCAGGACTGGGTGGTGGTCTCTGCTTTTACCTTTCCGGGTTCTCTTCTCCCGTCTGCCCTGTGCCCTCTATACCTTGGTTCTGATCTGCTAGATAGGTTCTCAGTATTCCCCCCATTCCCTTTGTTTCACCTCTGATTTCACGTCCCTGGCATTGTCCTTTATTTTTTGGTACTTGGAGAATTTCGCAGTATTGATGGCCTACCCTTCAATTTCCAGAGGGTAAACAGAAAATCCAAGGGGCAAAAAGGACTTTGTCTAACTCGATTATTAGCTGCCTAGGTCTCACCTCCGTTTGATCTTTCTGTTTTGAAAAGACAGAGTGGAGCCATCCCTCTTGGGTTCCGGTTTTTTTTGTTTGTTTGTTTGTTTTCAGTTTTCATTCCTTGCTACCTCTTCCACTCCCCTCCAAAACCAAGACTTTTACTATTGCTTTCTTTCACTGTTTCCTCTTTGTGATTCCAAGGATTTTAAGTGTCTCCTCGGCCTTCTCCTCCTCCCACGTCCCCTCTTTCCCTCTTGCTGTGTGGCCTTGTTGTCTGGCGCGAACCCCCTCGGCCCGGGCACTTTCCCTTTTCCTGGGGAACCTCGGCTTCCTTCCTCCCTCCCGCCCTCGCCCTCTTTTTGGGCCGGGGCTCCCCTCCCTCTTTTCAGACCCCTTTCGCCGGGGGCGGGGGAATCGGCTGTGCAGCCTCCTGCGCATCTGGTACCCCCGCCGACGCCCTCTGGGGCGCCCCGAGCTGCCGGGCCCCTTCCTAGGCTGCGCGGTCGCCTAGGGCCGCTGAGTCCCGACCCGCCGGCGGTGCGCCTGGGCCTAGGGCGGGCTGGACTCGGTGACCTGTGCTGATTGGTCCCCGGAAGAGCCAATCAGCGCTAGTCTTGGGCCAGCTGCCGCGGGCGCGGGGCGGGCCCTCTGCTGCGTGCCTGGGGGCGCTCAGGGTCTCCTGCTGCTTCGGGGTCGCGGGTGAGAGGTCTGGGGGAGCGGGCGGGCGGCTGCGGGGTGCCAGGCCTCGGAGCTCCTGCCTTACACACACATTTCCCTGCGCCCACCTCTTCCCAGAGCTCGAAAAACGGAGGTAAATACGCACCCCACTCGCCCCACCCCCACCCCAAGGATGTTATTGGTGCATCAAACAGAATCCCAAGAATGAAGAAAACTAACTGCAGCCCACAGACGGAGGCCGGAAACGCATGCTTCCTCTTATTTTTAATTGAGAAAAACCCATGCTGTGACCATGTGATGCGTTCTATTTTGTCTTCCTGGCCCCTTTACTACGTTTTACTACAAAGCTTCGTTCCTGCCCCCAATTCACTGGACCCAGCACGCGGGGGCAGGTGTGGGATTCCATGGTTTGACTCGCGATTCCTGCCTTTAAATCCTTTATAAATGGGAGGGAATTAAAAAAAAGAGAGAAGAAAATGCAGATGGTGTGGCTGTTATCTTTTGGGGATCTTTCTGATGCAAAGTGCACCACTTGGTTTAAGATGGCATCGGGCTCCACAAGTTTTGAGTGTTGGTGCTAGGTGAGATGAGCCAGAGCTGACCCTTCTAAAGCAGACTTTAGAAAGTCCTTCCTGACCAAGGTTTTGGGGAAACGTGCTTGTGCTTAAGTGAAGGGCCCCAGGGTACACTGGGCACGCTGAATTTGAAAGCTTGCCAGATGTGTGAACAAGTAGATGAGTCATAGAGCTCTGGTAGCGCAGTGGTTACGAATCGGGCTGCGAACCCCAAGGTCAGCAGTTCGAATCTACCAGCTGTTCCGCGGGAGAAAGATGAGGCTTTCTGCTCCCGTAAAGATTTACAGCCTCGGAAACCCTGTACAGGGTCGCTATGGAGTCGGAATCGACTCCACGCCACATAACCACCACCACCACCAGGGGAAAAACACTATTCCTGCGGAAGAAATACTTCTGATCCACCCTGCCTCTGTGAGCAGTGAGTGGGAGAGTGCCTTTCTTGTCCCAGAAAACTTTGAGAGCTAGCAAATTTCTGCCTGTGCCAGCTATCTTTTTTTTTGTGTTAAATATCCATTAAAATCCTATATATTGCATTTATTTATTTGAGTGATTTGTTACTGTTGTTGCCAAGTGCCATCTGACTCATATGACCCTTTATAAAGTTTCTGAGGAGCAGCTGGTGGGTTGGAACCGCCGATCTCGCAGTCCAGTGCTTATTCTACAGCACCACACCAGAACTCTATTTGAATAAATAAATACTATCTGGAGTATTCATAAGGAGCTCTCTGGTAGTGTAGTGATTATGAATCGGGCTGCTAATCTCACCATCAGCAGTTCGAAACTACTTTTTCCCGGGGAAAAAGACGAGGCTTTCTACTCCCGTAAAGATTTACAGCCTCGGAAACCCTGTACCGGGTCGCTATGAGTCGGAACTGACTCCCCGGCACATAACAACAACATCCGGAG